TGTAAACCGGGGGAAATGGAGTGTGTGACAGACCTTGTTGGAGGGGAAGGTGATTGGGAAGAAGTCCAGTGGCCTGGAGCCTGGATATTTTTCTGTCCAAGAATATCAGCCTGGGAGATGCAAAGGGGTTATGTTGCCTGTGAAACCCCAAGAGAGTGGTGTGTTACTTTGCTGTGGGGTACACCAGAGCCTACCATGTGCTCACAGCAGGTCTTCAAGAGGCACTGGGACAGCTTAGCAGAGCTGGGGAATCTGGTTGACAGTCTCTGTCAGAGTAATGGTCTGGTAAATGTGGTGTTAATTAGTGCTCAGCACAAAAGGGAGGATTCTGGTCAGAAGTTAGCAGCTAGTAGAACTGAAATGGTCAAACTGCAAGCTTCAGGCTGCTTGTGGAAGCACCTAGAGCTTAAATTGACTGACCTGGAGGGGCACCCTGACACCTTGGGAGGGGAAACTAGGGGCTCATGATGAATTGAAAAAATGAGTCCTTCAGGCAGCCCTAGTTACAGTAATTAAGGAATCCTACAGAAAAGGGTACCCTGCTCCCCAGACCATGACCACTCAATGGGTCTTTACTCTGAGTGTAAATGAATAGAGAAATGTGGAGAAACTTACAGTCACTGCTCTGCAGTGGCTATGGCATTGCTGGGACACCAGAGCAGATGAGAAACAGCTGAAAGCTTGAGACAGCAGGACTTTGAGGAGTTTGGGCATAAGACACTTGTAAACACTGTTCTGGACAATGTAGGAGGGCTTTGGGATCATTTTCTAGAGATATATGTTGAGCAGTGCCTAATCGTGCTGATCCTACAAACAAAATACCCCTTTGAAAGGACTGGGAAGAAGGGGATAATCAACTGCAGTTTCCTGGACTGCACAGGTGTGGTTAACAGGCAAAGGGAGAGGGACGTTGAAAAGCTTGTGATCACTAATGCTAGGGCTTGAAATCTCCAATGACTAGGCACAGTTACTATGGCCCTCTGGTACCAGCTGGTGGGATGCCCTGTTGATCAAGGAGTGACCTATATATACTATTCTGGAGTAAGGATGCCAGAAGAAGAGTACAAGCTAACAGCACGGATAAGGATAATACCAAGGATCCAGTAGTATGGCCAATCTCAAGAAAAACACGACGAGAGAATGAGAATTTTGCATGTCCCGCTCTAACACACTGGGACTTCAGGATGTATCTGAAAGAAAAGGGAGACAATATGAGACACTGGGAGGAAAAGCCCTTCATAAACCTAGCACTGTGAGCACAGGAGAGAGGTGAGAGTTTATTTAAACCATTTCCTTCTGCTACCCCCGCTTCTGGACCACATACTGCTGACAACTGATTTGAACTTACTGCATCAGCAGGGTTCTCCCCTGGCCTGGCAGTGGATGAAGATAACCAAATTTATCAGACTGTCCAGACGAGGCGGCCAGGTACCCTTGCCTCAACAATGTTGTGCCCTAGTGGATACCTAGTGATAGCAGCGCTCAGTGAACCTTATTGTCCTCTCTGTGTAGCAGTGATAAACAAATAGTTCTTGGAGTAACTGGAGGAGAAACATGCCCAGTTCTGGAGGAAGGGAACCTAAGCTTGAATAGATGGGTTTTGTACACCTTACTTGTTGCCACCGGCCCTACTGCGCCTGTCATCCTTGGCATTGACTTTCTTGATCACTGGAGATGGTGCATTCAGGAACACCAGGAAGGCTTCAGGTTTTTTTGAATAGGCAGTGTGGCTTGCACAGGTGAGAACCAGCTATGGGACTCCCTAGGACTCTCTAATTACCCAAACATTGCTGAATTTGTTTAAATAGACCCAGGTGTTGGTCCCTTGGCAATCCAAGTAATTTGCTGAAAGCAGTATCAAACTGACCAAGGGGCCACCAATGAAATTCCAAAAATAATTGTTTCCCTGGAAAAACAAGGGGTGGTCTTAAACACATAGTCACCTTACAGTAGTCCTCTTTGACCTGTGTGGAGGTCTGCGGGAGAATGATGGTTTACAATAGACTTCAGAGCTCTGAATGAAGTCACACCCCCATTAGCTGTTACAGTTCCAGACACATTGCAGTTCTTGTATGAGCTAGAAGCTAAAGAATACATCTGGTATGCTATAACTGATATTGCAAATGCTTTTTTTTTTCAATCCCACTGGTCAAAGAAGCAAGACTTCAGTTTGCCTTCACCTAAGTGGTGTGCAATACACCTGGAACCAGCTGTCCCAAGGGTAGAAACACAGCCCTTGCTATCTCCCATGGCATTATCCACCAAAGTTTAAAGCAACAGAATTCCAAAGAACTTTTCCTCTACCTTGGTGATACATTGATTGGAGGAACAACACCAGAAGTACTAAGTAAAGGGCTATAGAAAATCATTACCTCTCTCAGGGCTGGATTTGCCATTAAGTACTCCAAAGTAAAAAAGCCTCCTCAAGAAATACAGGTTTTAGGATGCAAAATGGATGGAGATATATGCCAGCTGACCAAATTGCTTGGATAAACACCATGGACCTCCATGCAATAAACAAGAACCCAGGCCTTCTTGGGCATTACTGCATTTTGATGTACGCACATCCCTGGTTACAGCCAATTGGCCAAACCCATGTATCAAGTGACCTGAAATAAGCCTCATTTTGAGTGGGAAGAAGAACATCAGCAAGCTTTGGAGCTGATCAGCATAAGATAGTCCATGCCACGGCATTAGGACCAAGATGGGCAGGTAGCAATATAAAAAAATTGTTATATACACAAGCAGGAAAGAAAAGCATCAAATGGAGTTTGTGGCAATGAGCATCTCAAGCGATGAGAGACACTATTGGAACTCTGGAGTCAGAGCTACAAAGGAGCAGAAAATAACTAGTCCCCCCTAGAACAAGAAGTCCTAGCTGCATATGCAGACGGTGTCTGAGTGCCACTTAAGTGACTACACAGAGCAGTCACTGTGGTTATGCCCTAGACTAGCTGTCCTGAATTTTAGCTTCAAGGATTCAAAACTACTGAGGGAAGAGCAACCACAACTACATGGCAAAAATTACTATTGTGCCTTTGCCAATCTGCACATATTGGTTCAAGCTCCAGACCAGGATTAGTTGAATTTACTAAGTCAATGGCCAGCAAATCAATAGTATGAGGAAGACCAAACACCTTTGGCTGTCAAAGCCCTAGCATATGATGAATTAAGTACTGAAAATAAACAACAAATTTTGTTCACTGATGGATCCTGTAAAATCACAGCAGGAAACAGGAGGCGGAAATCCTTGGAACCCCTTTACAGGAGAAGCTGCCATCTGGAAGGAGACTTGAAGAAGTTTGAAAGGCCTTGAAAATAAACTCAGGAGCATCAACAGACCCATATATACAGACATCCTGATAGATGACCCTATGAAACTGCTGAACATGCTGCAAGGGATCGAGGACAGAGAAGGCTGCTTAGGCTTGTCTTGGGAAGATATAATGCAAGCAGTTAGACAGTATGATGTCTATGGAATAACAACATACAGTGTGAATGATGAAACAGTATGCACAGTGAGAGAAATGAATGTTTGGAGACGGCTGGCAAGTGGATTATGTAGACCAACCCCTTCCTCCCCAGCACCGCTGGCAGATGCTATATTCTCAAAGAGGTAGAGCATCACAAGAGTGGCTAGAAGCTTTCCCCATTCAGACAGCAAATGCAGGTAGCACCCTAGAAGGAATAAACAAACATATCTGTTGGCACCATGGAATGCAGCTTAGGCAGGAATCAGACAATGTAACTCATTACAAAAATACAGCCATTCAAGAATGAGTGGGTACATCACCAGGCAGCTGGAAAAGTAGAGCTGTGCAATGGTTTACTTAAACCCATGCTAAAAACACTAGGAAAAGGGTCTATCGGGGAATGTATGACATCCTCACCTTCCTCACCTCCAGGAAGCTGCATGGCAAGCTAACCTAGAGCCAGAAACTTGTCATAGCAGCCCAAAAGAAAACCTGAGCTCAATTGCCATAAAGCACCAGACAGCCCTGAGGATGCTTGGATTGGGAAGCCTGCAACAGTTGAAATCCCTAAGAAAGTGGTCTCTATTTTTTGAAGAGCAGGGTTTACGTACTGGCTGGTCTTTGGAAAAAGAACAATGAAATGTGTGCCTTTACATAAAGTAAATAGGAGAGAGTAATCTTACTTTACCTCATAAACATGTGTTTTGCAGGGACAAGATCTGAATTTTGTAATAAAAATATGTTGAGATTGGTATGATGTTAAATCCTATAATGTGGTTCCCAGAATGAGAGGTAGTGTTTTATTGATTATATGTGCACATTGCTACAATGTAAATATCTATTGTCTGGGACTAAGGGTGGAGTTTATAATGTATGTATTTTATGATTATGATGATGGTAAAGTAGAGTTTATAATGGATGTATGTTCAAAAACTTCTTAAATAGGTGTTTCACAGAGGTGAGGGGTGAAATGTATTGGTTATAACTGGCAGGGTTTCAGTCACCAGAGGCTGCAGGGGTGCCCTGTGCTTCTGCAGGGGAGCCATTCCAGCTGGCTCTGAAACTATTGAAAACAAGTCATTGCACACCAAAACTTCAACAAATCAGAGGAGCACATGGCACCTATGCTTCAACATACCCAAGAAATATGCCTGCAACTGTGGGTTGTGGCCATCATTGTTGTTTGTTTATGTAGATGTTGGTGAATGCTGGTTAACCAGAGGGGATCACTGTACGATTTTTGGTTTTAATTGTTTGTCACTTTTGGAGTGGCTTCCTCTGGCACTTTCTCACTCAGAGTGATGAACAGGATTGTTAGCAGATTCTGGATTTCACTCATCACAGCCAAGTTCCTAGCAGAATCAGGCCCCTCTAATTCCATTTTTATGTCTTCACTTCTAGAGTTCCTGGCTCTGAGGCTGGTGAATGGCAATGACTGTGCTGGGCGGCTAGAAGTTTTCTACAATGGGACATGGGGGAGCATTTGCTCCAATCGTATGTCTCAACTTACTGCAATAACTGTATGCAAACACCTGAACTGCGGAGATGGTGGGGAAATCGCAACAGACTTCAAATATGGCAGAGGTTCTGGGCCCACGTGGCTGGACCACATTGAGTGCACTAAGCAACATAGCTCTCTCTGGCAATGTCAGTCAGACCCCTGGGATCCTCAGTCATGTGATAACCGAGCAGAAGAGACCCATATTTCTTGCACTGGTAATTAGAAATGCATCTCTACAGGACTCTCCAGACATATACGTAAACTCATGCATGCTTATATGGACACTGTAGTAATTCTCTCATGTTCATTTGTTATCTGGTATATATTATTTCTAGTTTCATGCAAATGGCACAAACATTTTTCTTTGTCGATATCCCTGATGTAAATGAGTGGCTTAAAATTACATGAGTGTCGCCACGTGCAGTTACCCAGTGGAAATCCCAGGGAAGTCCCTGATAGGATGGTACCATTGCGTATTTTTAAAGCAAAAATCTATGATACACAGTCAGTCTGTGAGATTTTAATTAGGATCAGACTTCTCAAGAAGTCTAGAGGCAGGCATGTGTTTCTGCATGTATGGAGGCATATCAGTGCATATGTGCGTGTACACACATGCATGCACATAGCCATGGACAAGTGTATGAATTCTTCAGTTCTAAAGATCCATTTCTAATGCCTGCTCTTATGACAGTATTTCATACCTGTGGGTTCCCACTATAATATAAATGAATTCTAGATGCCATTCAGATCTCCTGAAAGGGATTGCAGCTGCCTCACACAAGAAGAAAGAAAGCATAGTAATCAGGAAGATTATTTAATTCACAGCAATAGCCAAACAATGATCCACCAAGTACTAAATAGGCCATATATATACTATAGTAAAAAATTAACTTGATACTCAATTTTCAGGCATTTTATACTCCCTCACTCTTTTCAGAGAATAATCAGACTATTTACTTCAGTATTTAAATTCTGCAGGAAGAAAAGAGGCAACGTCTCCGGCCACATTTGCTGAGTGTCCAAACTCTACAAGTTGTTCAGGTACCTCTACCTCTTTGCTTCTCCTTATTCGTCCCTATGGACCTTCCTGCTGTTTCAGCAATACAGAAAGTTTCTGTGTTTTGCAGACAGGGAAAAGTTACGAGTCATAGGAGGAAAGGATGGATGTTCAGGCAGAGTGGAGATTTGGCACCAAGGTTCTTGGGGAACAGTCTGTGACGATTCCTGGGATGTGGCTGATGCTAATGTTGTATGCAGGCAGCTGGGTTGTGGATCTGCTGTGTCTGCTCTGAGTGAAGCTGCCTTTGGGGAAGGGACTGGTCCCATCTGGTTGGAGGAGGTCCACTGTAAAGGAACAGAGCTGTCTCTTTGGGACTGTCCTGCCAAGAGCTTGTTCTGCAAAAACTGTGATCATAAGGAAGACGCTGCTGTGGATTGCTCCGGTTAGTGACTGGTCCTTTGGTTCATTACACAGATCTGGAAAGGAGGTGGATAGAGGAATATTATGTCAGCCGTACATCCCAGTGACTAGCCCCTTCATAATTTTGACTGCAGGAACTTCACAAACGATGTGAAGATGTTGTCCCTATTTTTCACACTTGCCTCTTAATCTGGACTCGCCTTCCTTTTGCAGGTATGCCAGGAACAACAGCATCACCCACTAGAGCAGGTAAAACATTCCTTCTTCCTCCTTTCTTTCTCCCATCGAATGAGGATTTAATGTCCCTGATACTGCATAGCAGGTAAATCAGCAGTATATTCCAGCTCATCAGAAAGCATGTCCCACAGCCTTTTGTAAAGGAGAGCCAAGTGGCACTATCCCCAGCTGCTGAATTATAGCTGCTTGAGCAGGACCCCCGACTGGGCAGCAGGTGACCTGCCTCACCCTGCTAGCATGGGCACAGCAGGAGGCTACAGAGGAGGAGCCCTTTGGGTCACCTGATTCTCTACCTGTTGCTTCTTCATTTCCATTCAGATCCTCCCCGCCGCCCTGCCACAGAGACTATGAGAATTTCGGCGCCTGTCATCATCTGCATTATCCTGGGGGCCCTTCTCTGCCTGGTCCTTGCCATTCTTGCTGGACAGATCCGAAGTGCCAGGGCACAGCAGAGAGGTGGGTCCCTCAGGACTGGTATGAAACGCCTCCTTGACATGGCTGGCGAGTGTTTAGTTAGCTGAGGAGGCTGGGGAGATGGGTGACCGAGATGAATGGCATCTGCTGCCACAATGAGATTTTCACTTACCATCTGGCAGTGAAAGAGCCCAGCAGTGCTTATCCTCAGTCAGCACCTCTCGGTGACTTTCTGGGTACCAACCAGGCCATGTAGACCCCTTTAGGTCATTTTTCCTTTTCATGACCCCAGCCTGGGTATGAGCAGAGACTGTGTGAGTGATCATTGCCTTTTGCTTTCAGGTTCCAGACTACCCTATGACCCCTTCGCTGAGGCTCTCTATGAAGAGATCGACTATAACCTGATGAGGGAAAAGCAGGGCATGACTGGCCTCTCAGGTCTGTGTGTCTTGCTCTTGTCAAGGGAAAGCTCCTCATGGTGGCCCAGGTCCCAGTCTGGAACTTTGCAGCTCCCAAATCTACTGGGAAACCGAAAATTCCTAGATTTGAGGAGAGGGGTTTCCAGCCCACTGCACTCTGCCAATTCCTCTCCTAGGGACAATTCATTTTGTGCTGTCCTCACTGCAGCCACAGAGCATGGATCAGTATAGGTCAAACAAACAAACAAAAAAACCTCCCCCCAAAAAACCCCAAAAAAAGGCTTTCACTGCAATTATTTAAAGCAGGAACAAATAAAGGAATAATTTGTATCTCCCTCCCAGTGGCTATGTGCCTCTGTAGGCTTCCTCCTGCCGACTGCTTTTCTCCCTTTCGTGGCTTGCCTCCCCCATGAGCCATGAGAGGTGTTCAGGGGCCCCTGAGGGATTCTTGGCTATTCTACTGTAAGCCCTTTACCTTGCGGGACTAATACTGACTGCCCAAGAACCTGCTTGACTTGGGTGCTATTGCTGTAGCCTACTCTTTTCCTTATGATGCAGTCTTAGCAGCTAAGGAGAGCTTAACCTAA